AATTACAGCTGACGGCTTCATCAGTGTACCCGAGAACTGATTGATTTAATTTCCCCCACTCAACGCTCTGAGAATCCCTCTCATCTGTGGGGCCCCATTAGAGCAAAAGGCGGCTGCAAAAAAAAAAAAAGGAAAGAAAAAACCTCTTCTCATCCGGGAGGATTTCAAAAAAACTGCCAGCTGGTCATAAAAATATGGATCAGAGAAATGCAGAGGTGAAAGAAAGACACTGCAGGAGGGCAGCTCTGAGGGCAGGCTTGGCTTCTCTGTGATGGGGAGSGGGGGCTCTCAGCCAGCCCTCCAGAGAAAGCGGTTTTATCACAATCACGTTTCCAGGGAGATTTTGCCTCTTTTTTTTCCCTACTCTTTTTTTGGTGAAACCCTTTCGAAATGCTCCGTGATTGCCTCTGATCTCCCTCGTGTTATGAGCTACTCAATCTTGAGCAAAAAAAAAAAAGTGTTTTCGTCTGTTATTCCCTCGTGGAATGTGCTCAGGAAGAAAACACACATGTTGAAAGAATTGCACATCACCTCCCAGCTGGCACGGCAAAGTTTTCGGCCGTGACTGGGTGACCAGCTCAGAGCACATGTTACGGATCAGTCTCAGCTACCACCGCWCCAAATCTTAGCTCGGTACCTGTAAAACTGATAGCATTATAACCATTTATGTGTTTGCTGATCTTTAATCAGACTGACTCCAACATTCGTGTACATTCAGTGACTACTTTCAATGAAGTCCAACTTATGTTTCAGGAGATATTTTACTAATCTTTTTTTTTACATTTTGTCTTACTTTTCATGACAGACAATACTATTTATTTAAAAATATAAAGTAACYGTATACCACAAAACCAAACCTGCTCAGTGAGCAGCAAAGGTTAAAGCAAAGGTTTAAACAATTACAGAATAATAGAGAGAGAGACCGTTAGAGAAAAATGAAATCCCCAAGTCAGCGCAGAAAAATGAGGATTCTTGCCAGATGCAGGAGCACCAGGTGTAAATGAGCCAGTTTACTGACAGAAACTCAATCAGAGTGTTAAGAGCCATAAAGCATATCAATAGCATTTGGGATGAAAGAGACAAGGAGGCTTTTTAATCATCCAAACAGGCGGTCTGGAACGACAAGCTGATGTTAGCAGCTGGAACATCAGAGCTCCATGATTCTAATCCGCTATTTAATGTGAGTTTAATGCTGAGTAATTTCACTCAAATCTACAAATGACTCTAAACTGTATCACCRCTCAGCATCATTACATTTCCTCAAGTCAACCGAATGACAGAAAAAGTTGCTGAAGTTTCTTTTTAAATTCATTAAAAGGCATTTTTTTTGCATCTGTTTGTGTTTATGAAGCACAAACGTAAGCTGATTTTGATGTTTATATTCTTCAAGACGTTTCTTTTTGATAAATCCTACAGTTAGGGTTGGTTTCCTGAGTTATTCCTTAGTTCTGCTGCTAAAGTCTGAAAGCCTCCACATGCTCCAACTGAAGCCGAACAGTCGACACACGGTCACGTGGTTGTTCAATGTTTGTTTTTGCACACACCTTTCATAGTTGCTGAGATGCACCACACTGAGTTCTTGGTAAGCCCCTCCCACTGCAGTGCACATCAATGCACAGGGTTCCTTCCTGCTGGAGTCTACACTCCGGAAAAAAACAAACAAACTCAGATCCMCCATTATTTTTTTCACAAATCCATCTCAGTCACATCAGCCGTTATTTGTCCACAARTCTGTCCCAATTAACACTCCACACTTATGATGATGGACTCTTTCGTACAAAACTATTTTTTTAATCTCAACTCATGAGTTTTTGGCTGTTTAATATTCTTTATGAATGTCTGCTTTTGGTCGCATTCAAGAAGTGAGTAGTTGGAGCAAAATGCAACGTCYGTGTGCTTTCAGCATAAACAAGCATGCCCACSAACTTCAGACCAATCACACAGAAATTTCTTAGCAGGATGGAGGTGTGACGAAAAGAGGCGGCAGAGTCGACGCTGAGAGCACGGTGACATAATTTTCGTCACAAAAATGCAAAAATCCAAGCCGACATCGGCTGGTTGRAGGGAATATAAAGAGACTTTTAGACTGCTGGAGGACAAAGTGACCACATTTCCTCACTCTGCTGCTGCCTTCAGTCACTCTCCTCTACATGTTTGTTGTTGTAATTATGTCAAAAACATATGTTTTACTTTGTCTTTCTTCCAAAGAAAAACACACCTGGATCTGTCCTCCTGAACCCTTCAGGTGGAGGCAGATGGCCGCCTGTCCTGAGCCTGGTTCTGCTGGAGGTTTCTTCYTGTTAAAAGGGAGTTTTTCCTCTCCACTGTTGCCAATGTGCTGCTCAGGATGGGAGACTGTGTTGAAGTGAAGATTCAACGCAATCTGCTGGCTTTCTTAGATTGATTGTTTTGTAAAGTGCCCTGAGACGACATGAACTGAATTATTTTTTAATTAAATTTAGGAGGTAGTCTGTGCAACTAAACTAAACTAAACTAAACTAAACTAAACTAAACTAAACTAAACTAAACTAAACTTTTATGCATGTGCTAGACTCAAAATCACAGCAATGTAAGATATCAACAAATATTAAAACCCAGATGTCCTGATGCATCTCAGTAATCCAGGTAAAAAATCAAAAAGAAAAAAATTGTATAGGTCCTATACAATTTTTTTCTTTTTGATTAAAACCCAGAGTTTTATATTAAGATCCAAAATGTTGAGAAATTACCAAATTGTAACCATTTTGGTCAAATGTTAAAATTACAATATGTGTGCTTTTATACAGGCCCCATAAGAAGCAGTGGGTTCTCACAAGGTAGTATATTTGGGAAAAATAGTCCTTATAAGGTAACAAAAGCTGAAACACACACGCAGATTATATTCAAGGTGTTTTTGTCGGTGTTGTACTCAAAAACTTGCATTTTCCATATCCTATGAGGTTGTTTTAATTAGAAGCATAATGCAAACCTGCGCTACTTGACAACTTGTAAACAATGTAGTAACTGACAAGTAATTATAATTTTTAATAACTTGGCATTGAAGAATTGTAGGTGACTGGACTGACTAAACTGTAGCTGTTATTTCTTGTGAATGCCTCTCGGATCTCATGCAAATTTAATTCTTAGTCTAAACTAACACTAAATATCTAAAAAGTGTTTTTGAGGGGAGAAATTATGTTTTCATTTTTTGTGAGTTGACAGCTGCACAGAATGAATGGTTACTGTAAAGGCAGGAACTGACCTAACAKTGGACCTGTTGCTGTCACGCCTGCAGAAACACTTCCTCCTGAAGCGCCAGTGTCAGTAACAGTGATTTTTAAAGAACCTTGAGCTTTTCACACAGGGACTCCGGTTTTTTTTCTTTCTTTTTTTTCATTTGATTTCTTTTTTTCAAAATTCCATCCCAAGGCCACAGAACCGAATGCCTCACAATTAGTACAACAAGCTCCGAACCTTCGCCTTTCTTTCATTCAGCGTGCTCACCATGGGAACACTATTATTGCATGTGAGTTGAATAGATGTGATGTGAGATTAAAAAATAAAAATTAAAAAACTAAATCGGTGAGGTGGAGTTACAATTTCATGGTTGATTTGYAGCCTTCGCTTTTCTTATTAGAACCCACATGGATATGATGAACAACTGAATTGAAATCAAACACTTCAAATCGTTCCGTTCCCAAATATTTAAAGCGTTTTTATTATGACTTCACAGTGCGTTTATGAAGCCGTTTGTTTGAGACATTCAGAGCTAAAAGACACATCAAAAATATCAAACAGATACAGAAGCACATTGTACACACGAGGCTCAGATTTGGGTTGTGTTAACMCTCATTTTGTTCATGGATAAAGTTAAAATTTAATGCAGAATATCAGAGACAACCTCAGTTTGAGAAACTACTAAAAACACAACTAAAACTAAAAGCATTGAAATAGGCTGTGGCTAATTGCTGAACGTACACSGAGGAACACAAGGCACGAGAACACTTTTTTTTGCTTGAACTACTGTAATAATATTTCATTTAAAAAGATTAATAGTTAAAGCTTGAATTAAAAATTCTATTTAACTAGATCCAGTTGAACTGGTCACTGTTTTAACAGTATTTAGAAATAAAACAAGACGGTAAATATGTTGCATTTCATTTGCAGGATATGAAGGAACAGTATAATACATCAAAGTGTTCAAAATGAACTAAAATACACACAATCTAAAATGTCCTGTATGATTGTAAGTTAAAAAGTTGTCATTAGAATGACACATTTCATTAATTAAACCCAGCCGAACATTACATGTAAAGCTGGATATCTGATAGCAGCATTTAATGCACGCTCACAAAGCTGTACGGATAAAATGTTGAGCAGAAATGTACAACAATCACCGATTTTACATTGAAATTCATGCTGCGTRTACACTTTATAATACATATTGTCATAATGGCTTTTGCCTTGGAGCCCTCTGCCCATTTTAGTTGTCATTTCAGACAAAAAGAGTTCAGACGATGCAGCATCCACATCGTGCACACAACTGGACTAAAACACAATCACAGCTGAAAACATTCAGACGCTCGGAGCAGCCTCTGAGCAAAACAACACCTCATTACGTCACAAAGTTCAGCTTCCAGCATTTTTATTATTATTATTTTATTTATTTTTTATTTTTGTGACAGCGACGACTCGGGAAAAGTCGTCAGTCTGGTCCGGTCATAAAGGAAACCCTGCGATTTAGTCGTAATTCACAGAGGATGATCCCTGAGAGGTTGGTAAATTTTCTACATCGTCACAGATATACAACACTGCAAAGCAACAAACTACAGTTCACACACAAGCAAGTCAGCTTAAAGCAAAGTTTATAATGCTATTTTAATAATAATTCAAGAAAACAGCGTTGAAACATAATTACGTTTTTATAATGTGCCTTAGGCTGCCTTTGATCTTTCATTCTAAGTGAGAACTTAATGTGAGAACTTCCCTGGATAATGTGAAGTACAGGTAAACAAAAACTGAACCTAAAAGTAGTTTATCTCATTTAGATTTTTTATATATTATATTTGCATTGATAACAACCATATGGATTAAAAAATAGTCCAATGCTATTCTTCCTATATTATTCCACCTTTTAACTTTTCATAAATAATGTCCTAAAATAAAAAACAACATGCATTGATATCACATCTTTAGATTCCACTATCTCATAGGCATTAAATGTACATTTGATTTAAATGTTTTATTTATTACAAACAAATCCCACAAAAAGAACTGAACCAACACTATTTAGGTATACATACTGAATATGTATACCTTTATATGGAACTCTCTTTGCATTGTTGCCCAAATCAAACTCTGGAAGTGGTCATTCATCTAGATCTGTTACAAAAGGATAACTGATATTACCAACTTTTAAAAACTGTTACGGCCAGAGGTCTTTCTTCTATGTTTATACTAAAGCATGGAATGACATTCCTCAAAACATAAAGTCCATTTCAAAACTACAGCCCTCTAAGAAGAATCTTGTCTGCCATCTGCTGGACACTTTCTGTTGTGCTCATATTTAGACGTCTTATTTTGCAAATGCTGCCTTCCTGAAATTTGGTATGCTTGTTTGTCTTTGTGTCTATGGTATATAATGATGTGATTGTGATGCTGTAATTCTGAGTGTTTTATGTGCTGCAGAACAGGAACCTGCTGTAAAACAGCAATTATGCTGAGTCAGGCTTGATTTTCAGTGACCTTTTCCTGTTAAATCAATAAATCAAATCAAATCTAGGGTTTTTAGGTTAAACTGAAGGCAATTTGTGACTTTTAACAGTGTACATGAAAATAAATGTAAATGTGCTATTCATAGGGTTCAGTCGTACCTATATAAAACTTAACATAAAACTATTAGTTTATAGTATCTTGATTAAAAAAACCTGTTTTTAATTGCAGTGCATTATGTAAATCTTTCTTTTATTTAAGTTTGTTGGGTTACATTAGCTAACGCAGCTGCTGGGGATAACAGTAAAAATGTAATATGGATGTTATTTAGCCTAATTAAAAGTGTGAACTACAATTTTAATAAAGCGTTGGACCAAAACAACGCTGCTTTGAACTTATGTGGCCTGTTTAAATAACTTTGTTTTGATGCAGTATATATTTGTGCATTATTTAACTCATTCTATAGTCATTTTAATATTCACATTGGGTAAAATGAAGCAATAACTCCCAAAAAATGTTAAAGTGGCCTCAAATTCAGCATAAACTGGAGTGAAGGTGGCCTTCTGGAGAAATTGAATGAAAAAACAAACACAGAGACATGAAATTACAATAAAACTGTAAGAATATTAAAAGACTTTTTAAATTTATTTGAGACAAATTTAAAACAAGGTCCTGCTTCTTTGTGTTTCTCTCTCTAACTGGAACTGCTTCAAAATTTGGTTTTTTTTTTTTTTTTTTTTTTTTTTTTTGGTAAAAGAGCTACAGTTTTAAGGCACTGTCTTCTTAAATAGTGCATTTAGGGGAAGTGACGTTATTTTTACTTTAAGCATGGGGAGTGTTTGTGAGGGTAGGTTATTGGTTTTAGGTCTTTTTATGGGACTCATTGGGACTAACACATCCTGTTCAAATCGCAGTGGTGATCTGAGTCAAACACAGATCGATCGAGTCCTCCCAGCTGTGATAAGCCTTAGAGGACACGTTCATGGCTAGTCATACCGGCCTGGGTTGTCTCGTGTCTCCCCGTCCCTCAGTGGGGCAGGTGTGGTCCCGCAGGGTGCTCCTGACTCGGCTCAGCCCCTGACAGTCCCCATGTCCCCGCCCTGCTCCGGGGCAACAGAAGTCCCTGAAGCACCTCTTGAAGTTCTCGTCCAGGAACGCGTAGAGGATGGGGTTGAGGCTGCTGTTGGTGTAGCCCAGCGCCACGCAGAAGAAGTAGGCGGCCATGACGGCGGTGGTCTCGGGCACGTCGGACGACAGTGCTTTGACCAGGATGAAGATGTGGATGGGCGTCCAGCACACCACGAAGACGGCCACCACGACCAGCACCAGCCGCGTGATCCGGCGCAGGTTGCGGTCCTTCTCGCGCGAGCCCGAGAGGAGGCGCACGCTCTTCAGCCGCAGCACCATCAGCGTGTAGCAGACGGTGATGATGATGAGGGGGGCCACGAAGGCAAAGATGAAGACGCAGATCTTCATCAGGGTGTCCCAGTAGGTGTAGGGGTCAGGGAACTGTAAAGCACATTCTGTGGTTCCTGTTGGTGACAGAGGGAGTTACAGGTTTGACYCAGCCGGTTCGGATGTTATCATCCATTAAATGGACATTATTAGCCGTCATCAGTCCCATAGAATGACTTCAGACTGTCCCAACGGTGCCCCCTAGTGGGTTACCAGTGCCATATACACTGGAATGCAACAATCCAATTTATCGTAGCCCATGTCATTTTCTCTAAAATTAACCTTAGTGGCTTCATGCCTCATACTAACCAGCTGACAGTCTGAAGCCATTCAATGGGACTGATAACGGCTAATAATGTCCATTAATGGATGATAACATCCGAAGCGGGTGTTTGACCAGTCAAAATGGAGCAAAACACAAAAAATACAATCTCTTAAATGTTCAGTCACGTCTCCGTGGTCTGCGCTCCATAACTGAACCTGCTGAATCAGCTGAATCTGTCAAAACCAATATGGAAGATTTGTTTTTTTTACTTCATTAGTTTGTTTTGATTGGTCTTTGTGAAGCTCCAAAGGGTACCTTTAAATGTTTCATTGGCAAACCGATCGGGGATCGGCCACATATGGCCCCTAAGATGACTGTCTGGCCCACCAATAAGGCCCTTAGAGCTGCTTTAAGGGTGCTTATTTGGGAGGTTGATCCTCTGTTTACAGAATTTCAAGACAATCCTRTGTTCAGTCTGCTTAGAGATGCTGGTTTGCCATGAAAGATTTTAATATAAGCCGCCRCTACAACACATTGCACAAAGCTAAATATGAGAAGTTTACCGAAGTTGCAAATACTCAAACACCATTCTCATTGTACTCTGTGTGGTATTYTGTTAATTTGTTGTGAACTAACAAGTGTTGATCTAGCACATCACAGTTAATGTTTAATCTCAAGCAACAAATCAAGATGAAACTGTGCTTCTTTAAGAACTTAAAATKCTGTAACTAAGGTTTGTTCATTCAGAAAGATTAAGGTCAGACTTATTTTAAGAGTTTACATGTTAATGGCCTTTTCTGAGAAGACAGAGCAATTTTCTTGTCAAGTTGAAGAGCRCATGTAGACCTTTATCAAACTTATAAAAATTTTGTTCATTGAATTGAAGCAGTTAGTGGAGCTAATTCAGCATTGAGTTTTAAGTTTGAAAACCCTTTTATAGATGACAGCAAACCGGAATGTGAATAAAAAAAGACCTGTTCCAGAACCGTACTCGACGTAAAGTAGTAAAAAGGCAGAACGCGATACCGTTGTTGGTGTTGGTGCTGCCGAGCACCATGGCCGGGATCCCAGCAGCTGACGACAGCACCCAGATGATCACGTTGATGATCTTTGCCTTCACGGGCGTGCGGAAGTCCAGGGCCTTAACGGGGTGGCACACGGCCACGTAACGATCCACGCTCATCATGGTCAGGGTGAAGATGCTGGTGAACATGTTGTAGTAGTCAATGGAGATGAAGACCTTGCACGCCACTTCACCGAACGGCCAGGAGCTGAGGAGGTAGTCGGTGCTCTGGAAGGGCATGGTGGTGGTGACCAGYGCGTCGGCCACRGCCAGGTTGAAGATGTAGATGTTGGTGGCTGTTTTCATCTTGGTGTATCTGCAGGGGAGAGAAGAAACAAACGTCAATTTGTAAAACGGGCGCRTCCAAAATTTAGGCCAAAAGTTGACAAAATCAAATTGGATTTCACATCTTTTTAAAATGCAACCAATAATGATAAGGCAGTAAAAAAACAACTTATATAGATATATAGATAGATAACCTGCTTCTCTGGTTTGGACTAAACAATGACATTTGTTTCCCAAAATGACATTTGTTGAAGCTATGATGCTAACAACTGTTAGCACTAACTAGCAAGCACCAAGTTATAGCTAAACTGGTAATTTTAAGTTGTTTATTTTAATAGTTTTAATTCAAAATATTAGTAATTTTCAATATTTTTGGGGTAGAAAATGAATCAAACTGATAAACTCAACCCAGCTAAAATCAACAGGGCTGGCTCAGTTCAAACGTAATAAAGCCTTGTGTTTACAAACTGGGTTGAAGCAGTTTTTAATGAGTGGTTTGACACTGTCTTGCTGAAATAAGCAACACGTCCTGAAAAAAGGCCACCTTCTAAATGGCATCAGATAGCATTAAATAAAGAAACAACCCTGTGTTAATTGTGCTTTGGATGCAAGTTACTCGCCCATCATTTCACACCATTGATGTGGAAATTGGAAATTTTCTTCCTGCGGTCTGATGCAACCTCTCATCAAATGTTTCACATTCTTTTTTGTCAGCCTTTCTGTTTCAGTCCATCTTTGATTTGTTGAGGCAAACATGTTTATAATTCTGTCACCTCAGGGCCTGAACATCTATCTGCTTCAGTATTGTTTTTTTATTTTTATTTTTATTTGGTTTGGTCTCCAGACTCTTTATATACAAATGCCAATTCCCAAATTCTTTGTGTTTCACATATTTGTTGCTTTTGTTTCTTAAAATCTTTCATAACTTCCTCACAAATGGTTTTTTTCTTCGTAAAATTCCTGTCATTTACTCTAAATGGCCTTGATTCAGCGTTATTTTTTTATTGGCACATATTTGAAAAAAAAATGTGGCAGCTGAAGCAAACACTTTTATGTTTGTGCTTTTTCCTGTTTAAGTCCATTAGCAGATTGTATTTCATGTTTAAAACTGAACAGCACTTTTTTTGCACTTTAACATCAAAAAGACTCCACAAAATGATTTTCCCAAGGRAAAAAACAACAGAGTTTACTCCATGTCAACCTTATTAGAACGCACTGAAGTCAAACAGTGCGAGGAGAATAAAACAGAAAAAAAAAAACAGAAAATTTTACTAAAGACAAGAAAAACACATTGTGGGGCAAACAAAAGGGACGAGAATCCAATATATATGGAAATAAATGTCCTTTCTTTGTCTGTCTTTGCCTCTTCGCTCCCTCGGACCTGCATGCAGGTAAACAAAACACATTCCTGACATGAAACAGATCCTCAGGCGCAGGAAAATACGCACCTGTTTTCCAATWGCTGCTCCATGCGCGCGTGCATGGGCTACGTGCTGTGCCTCACTTACTGACATGCTTTCTTTTTGGCACGCGCACAACCAACACACGTAAGATTTTTTAAAACAACTCACCTTATGATGACATACATCACCAGACAGTTGCCCACCAAGCCCACCACGAACACCACCGAGTACACGGCGACTATGATGGGGATGAGGGGCGACATTGGCTCTGGTTCCGCGTCCCAGGTGCCGTTGGGGGTGTAGTTGAAGATGTCCGACAAGCCGGGCTGCCAGGTGAAGTTCGGCACGCACTCCCCGGGCTGGCCCGAGGGGCACCGGTCCTCTTTGAAGATGTGGACCACGCCGCTCTCCATGACGATGGTGCTTGAACTGCTGCGCGCCTGATGCGGGTGCGCAAAGTGCGCGCGCAACTTCACCCAAACCCGAAAATTAGAAAAGGAAGAAAAAAATCATAAAAAATAGGGGGTAAATTGACCCATTTACGGCCAAGAAGCACAAAAGCCCGCGCTCAAGGGCATCATTACACGCCTTCCTTACCTTTTTTATTATTTCCCCGCGCTCCAGAAAAGTTCGTCCAAAGAAGTCCCGCTGGAGAGGGGCTTTCAGGGACGCACAACCGCAGAAAGAAAGGCGGATGCGGGGGGGAAATTGGCTGATTTTCTGGGCAGGGAGGGAAGGAGGACGGTGGGGGGGGAAAAAATCACAGCTTGTGCCACCGCTGCGCGCCCGAAGGTGCGCACTGGAAGCCCGCACTGCTCATTCAGTGACATCAGAGGCTGAGCCACAGACATGACAGAAAGGTTCAATCACACATGGAATATACTTTATGTAGGATTTTGTTACACATTACGTGCATTCTTTTCATACCCCGTTTTTTTTATTTAATGCATGTCCCCCGCCACGTGCCATGCAAACATTTTAGACATTTTAGCACACCTTAAATCTTGAAAATAACATTAAGCACAATCTCGTGCAGTATTCTGGATAACTTTCAGCTACTACCATTAGCCCAAAACCTGTAAAACCCTTTGAGTTATATTTAAGGAGACCATTGAACCCACATGTTAACCTGATTAAATATTACTTTCTGAAGGTTTCATTCAAATCTATGGAAGCCCATTGCCACCCTGATAAAAAATAAATAAAACTTGTATCTCATAATTATGAGATAGTGTCTCATAATTATGACTTAGTTATCTCATAATTATGAGATAGCTATGTCATAATTATGAGACAGTATCTCATAATAATGAGATACTAAGTCATAATTATGAGATATTATCTCATAATTATGAGATAGTATGTCATAATTATGAGATAGTTTGTCATAATTATGAGATAGCTAAGTCATAATTATGAGAAACAAGTTTTATTTTTTATCAGTGTGGCGGAAAAGGGCTTCCATACAAATCTATCCGGTGGTTCATGAGAAATATTTTGCTAACAATTCAGCCACAGGCAAAACCCATTGCTTTGCCTTCTTCTCTGGCTACAGGTGATAATAATGCACAAGAAGAAGGCTGTGTTACAAACTGATTGGGGGYCCTTTTTTATTGTTTGTGGGGAAAAAAAGAAATCTGACCAGGAATGAGTCAGGAGGCGCTGATGAGGTTGTTCTTTGAAGCTGCTCACAATTCCCCCCCAGTTCTGAGTGCTCATTTCTGACTGTGACACTTTACAAAACACTGCTCTGCAAGAAGCTGATGCACGAAGTGAAGGTTACATCCTGAACCTGATCTGTGTGCACTGCAGTGGCAGCACRCAGACACATATAACGTTTTGAAAGCAGGAATGTCAAGAATTTTAGAATTCATTTCATACATTTGAATGGTGAGTTTCTATTATTATGTAGAAATATGTGAAATGTTATATTTGGGTTTGTTTCTCTGCTAGCAAAAACACCTAAAAATCAAACAATTTTAATGAAACATTCAGAATAAAATAACATAAATGCACATTTGCTCGTTGACTTTTTGGAAACCATCCAATTCAAGATGGGCACCATAGCTAATCAACAATAGCTAACATAAAAAGCGTATTTTACAGACATGCTCTCACCAAGTCAAATTTCATATGTGGAACACATTTGGTGAAWTAAAAAGATTCTGATATTAACTCTTCAAGCCCTTCTTTCACCCCTTTTCTGAGCAGATCAACTCATGTTGACACTGTCTCTTTAAATCCAAACAGGCACTTCAAACCCCGCCCCCCTCCAGCTTCTGTTTATTGCAGCTTGATAGAGGGGGTTTCCGGCTATATAGCAGTGCAGAAACATTTTATTTTTAAATAATTAAAATATGCCAATAACGGAAGACTTGTTCATCCAGCCTTATGTTAGRGCCAGAGTCTGATTCAAATTCAGAGGAGAAGAAAGACGACCAAACTGTAGTTGGTAATTTCAAATGTTATTTAGAAGTTCCATTGCAAAAACTTTGATGTCATAGYTCAGAAAAACAGAAAACTGAACGGGTTGAAAAATACGACCCAAACTGAATATAAAGATATCAACGCAGCACCGGAAGAGACTGAATTCAAATTGGGCTAAAAATGTGAATTTTGCACGTCCCCTTGGCAACWACCCCTGTTTGTCTGTTAGCAAAATATCTCTTAACGAACTATAAAACTCTCTCAGGAAAGGCCGCAGGAAACTGAGGACCATCCGGTCTTTATTGTCCCTGCTTCCATTTTCTCTCCAAGCACTGTTCATGAATCTCATCAGCAACATCATAGCACAAAATTGAAGACACCGGTGGCTCTAAATGCAGAAAGCTCCTCTTGTTCATAGTTTTTTTTTCTTTTTATTCCCTGAGTGTGTCTCTCTCTCTCCAGCAGCAGATATATGAGACAAGTTCATTGCTGTCATTAAACCGGTTCCTTTGCCTCCCTCACAGTAGTTGCTTAGAGACCCATCATGGCCAGATGTTGCTCGAGTGACAAAGTCTCTCCGCCGGTGTGTTCCTCTTGTCAAAGCCCGACTCGGTGTGTTTGTCAGGGCAAATATTTGACAGAAACYCTCTCCTGCTTGAACCTTGAACGGAGCGCGCGCGAGTCTCCTCCTTCACTCAGACGAGGGACTGGAGGACAGTTCTGGTGTTTACCTTGAATTCTAATAACGCCGTGCCAAAAGGTCCGCTTCTGCTCAGAGACAATCGCCTCTGCTTCTCACAACACTTGAAGCATTTCGTTTGTTCCTGTTTGAGCTCCAAGGGAAGAAAGGGAATGTTTATTTATCTAGCCTCCAGCAAATGAGGTCAAGGATAAAGTTTTTTTTCTTCTTTCTAAACATCATCATTTGAGTTCCTCTTTACAGAATAAAGCTGAGGCAGCAGCTGCTCAGTGAAATGGTTCAGTTCATGGCTTCATGGCAAACATGCACATTAAACACCACATAGCTTTCAGTTTTCACTTTGCAGAGCTATTTCTGCTCCACTATTGTGTCACGAACCACTCATTACTCCTGTCCCGTTCTGCAGAATTCTCACTTTTTGTACTGTGTTCCCTTTTTCTTTCTTTATAGACTATATTTTTCCTTTTTGATGGACATTTACTCTTTTCATCTAAAGTCTTTCGTCCAAAGCATCGCTCCTGGACATTTGATGGATTTCGACACATTAGTTTAAAATCTTTTTATTACATTTCTAGGAGCTGCAAGTGTGATTTTTCTTTTCTTTTTTCAATTTCCTCATATATGTTATGTCATTTGTTCCTTTTTGATCCTATTATTAAAAATCAAAAGAAAAAAAATAAGTAGGTCCTCTGGATGGGTTCTTCTTTAGTGAAACATTTTGTCTCTTAAGTCTGATGAGTTTTTTTTTTTTTTTTGGAGAAGACTCTTGGAGGAGAGATGAAACGTTTCACTGAAGAAGAACCCATCCAGAGGACCTACTTTTTTTTATTTTTTCTACCTGGGATGCATCAGGGCCTATTATTAAAGTTTTATTAGGAAGAAAAATTATATTTTTATATTTGAAACAACACAGAATGGTTTTCAAATAATGTCCTACAAATCTCATCATTTCAATGGGTTTTATCAAAACTTCAGAAAACAATCACTGGWTGTTCCTCTACAACTGGTTAAAGTTTGGAGTCAACCCAATTCAAGACGGCCACAGCCAACTGATCTTGGGTAACACAAACATGGTAATACAGCGAGAAAAATAAGTATTGAACACGTCACCATTTTTCTCAGTAAATATATTACTAGAGGTGCTAATGTCATGAAATTTTCACCAGATGTCGGTAACAACCCAAGTGATCCATACATACAAAGAAATCAAACCATAAATGTCCAGAAATGAAGTTATTTGTAATAATGTGGAATGGCACAGGGAAAAAGTATTGAACATATGAAGAAAGGGAGGTGTAAAAAGGCATGGAAAGCCAAGACACCAGCTGAACTCTCTCAGTAATTAGAAAGCAAGCCTGCCCCTTGTCAGTGCAAGTTAATATCAGCTGGTTCAGTCCCAAATGATGGCCAGGTATCACACAAGAACCATCTGATGATGGGTAAAAGTAAAGAGCTCTCTCAAGACCTTCACAACCTTATTGTTGCAAAGCATAATGATGCATCGGTTACAGAAGAATGTCTAAACTTCTGAAGGTTCCAGTGAGCACTGTTGGGGTCATAATTCAGAAGTGGAAAGAACATCATTTCACCATAAACCAACCACGACCAGGTGCTCCTCACAAGATTTCTGACAGAGGAGTGAAAAGAATTATCAGAAGAGTTGTCCAAGAGCCAAGGACCACTTGTGGAGAGCTTCAGAAAGACCTGGAATTAGCAGGTACGATTGTTTCAAAGAAAACAATAAGTAATGCACTGAACCACCATGGCCTGTATGCACGCTCACCACGCAAGACTCCACTRCTGAAGAAACAGCATGTTGAAGCTCCTTTAAAGTTTGCTGCACAACATTTAAACAAGCCTGTGTAATACTGGGAGAATATAGTCTGGTCAGATGAGACCAACATTGAACTGTTTGGATGCCAGAATACACATCATGTTTGGAGGTCAAATGGCACTGTACATCAGCCCAAAAACACCATACCAACAGTGAAGTTTGGAGGTGGGAACATCATGGTGTGGGGCTGTTTTTCAGCATATGGTACTGGCAAACTTCAAATAATTGAAGGAAGGATGAGTGGAAAAATGTACAGAGAAATTCTTGATAAAAATCTGCTTCCATCTACCAGGATGATGAAGATGAAACGTGGCTGGACATTTCAGCAAGACAATGACCCCAAACACAAAGCCAAGGAAACTCTCAGTTGGTTTCAGAGAAAGAAACTAAAGCTGCTGGAATGGCCCAGCCAATCACCTGACCTGAATCCAACAGAAAATCTATGGAAAGAACTAAAGATCAGAGTTCATAGAAGAGGTCCACGAAACCTTCAAGATTTGAAGACTGTTTGTGTGGAAGAATGGGCCAAAATCACACCTGAGCAATGCATGCCACTAGTTTCTCCATACAGGAGGCGTCTTGAAGCTGTCATTGACAACAAAGGCTTTTGTACAAAGTATTAGATAAATTTCAGTAAGTGTGTTCAATACTTTTCCCTGTGCCATTCCACATTATTACAAATAACTTCATTTCTGGACATTTATGGTTTGATTTCTTTGTATGTATGGATCACTTGGGTTGTTACCAACATCTGGTG